AGCTGTCCACACTTAATTGGTAAATGATTAACTAAGGGATAGTCCAGACCACTGCTATCAATCATTTCAATTTGACACAAGCACACTTTTAGAATAAATTTTTTTTATTCTGATAAAATATGTTTAAGTGAGTAGGATCCCAGAAGAGGGAACCTATAGCAAACAACTGCTCCCATCTTTTAAATAGCATGCCTCTACGTTTGGGTATTTTCCACATTGTGAATTTTACTTTCTCATGGAAGAATTTTTTTTAATCCTTATATTTCCTAGTGTCCATTTCTCCCAGAGGTCAGACCTGTGGCTTGGATCCCATGGGTCAGATTTACCTGAGCAAGACTTGGCTTGGCTTGAGTTCCAAGAGCGGGGGCTGGGCAGTGGCAGAGGCAGTTTGGGTGGGGATGGTGGTGGTGATGGCTCCCTCACAGCAATTCTACAGCTCTAGGAGTCATTCCTGGAAGGCTGGCCTTGAAATTGATGCCCCGGTTCTCCCACCCATTCTGTGAGTTATCCAGTATCTTATAAATCCCTTGCTGTTCAAATTGACGAGAGTAAATTCAACTGGCAGTAACTAAGCATCTGGATTGATACAAATGACTTGGGACATGGAAGATGCTTGACACAAGTTTGTTGAATTAATTATATATTTTATATTTACTTTAAAATTGGAAATGTAAATCGTGCCTCTGGGCGAAAATTTTCTAAGAGTGCAAATGAGTGTAAAGTGAAAACTGTCTTCCCCACAACTCTGCAGTCTCACTCCACTGAGGTCATAACTCTTAGTGGTTTTCTTGAAAATTTCGGTGCATGTATACATACACATCCCTAATTTTTTTAAAGCACAAAAGGAACATATTAGACTCTTCTGTAACTTGATTTTTAAAATTTAACAATATCTCTTAGACATATTTCTAAATCAGTACATATAGATCTACCTCATTCTTTTTGTTGGCTGTATGTAATCTAGTACATGAATGTGCCTTAATTTATCTAAACAGGCCCTACTGATGGACGTTTATGTGTTACTAGCTTCCTACTCTTACAATGCTGCTATCAACAGCCTTTATAAGTTGGTACTATGATCTGTCTAGGTGCAAACATCCATACACACACTTGCATATTTTTGCAAGTTTATCTACATAGAGTAAAATTCTCAAAGTGAAATAGCTACACAAAAGGGTACCCAAATTTCAAATGTTGATGGATATTGCCAAATTCCCCTCCAAAACTTTTACTGATATGTATTTTACACTCAGCAGTTTTCCCCTCAAGCATTAATGAGCTTTAAACTATAGCAGCTGGATTTTTGTCTGTTTGATTGTTTTTAGAGTTTTGCTTCTTAAACATTGCTTTCTGGGTTTATTTGCTTCCTCAAACAAAAGAGCAGATGAAAAGGAGACAGAACAAAAGGAGGGGACATGTGACAGGCTCCAAGCTAAGGACTGAGAAAGCTTGAGGCTCAAGGAAGGAAGCTTGCATTTGCAACATGGTGGCCAGGAAGTTCCTCAGACAGTAGGGCTGCCGGCAGGACTTGCTTCGAATCATCGAATGTAGGGCTCCCGACACAATAGACTTAATTTGTCGAATATGTCGGCACCTATTATATAGGAGCTACAAGAAAGCAGCCCGCACTTATATGTCACGTTACAGGATGTGATCCAATATTCAGCAATGTGAACAAAGAGAGCTATGTGTGTTCCACAGCTTTGCTGCAACACTTGAGGCCTGGATTATATGAGTGCTGCAAACCTTCCCACACTACCCGTATTTTCAGGTTCCCCAGCTAGGGTGTAAAAATAGCATTCACAATCAGGCTCTGCTGCCTACTTCTTTTTAGGAACACTATTTTCACAATCCTTTCCAGTAACTCTGACTTTCTCAGGTGTTGCCTGCACGTGCTCAGGAGATTAACCCTTTCACTGTGGAATCATCTTAGAGCCTCTTCTACTTCTCTGGGTGACTTTGGTGGCATCTTCTTTTGTCCATACCCAAAGAAGCAATTATGCTATTGGTAGATTCATTGCAGAAATGGCCCCTTTGCAGCTCCTCTCATCAAGGGATGAAATCTACTTCCCCATCCTTTGAATCTGGGCTGCCTTTGTTTCCTTTTCTGGCCAACAGAATACCGTGGACGTGACAATATGGTAGTTCTGTGGCTAAGCCTCAAGAGGCCTTCCATACACCTCTGTCTCTCACAGCCCTGCTTCTACAGTGAGAACGAGCCAGTGGTAGGCTGCTGGAGACTGAGAGACCAGAGGCAGCAGAGCTGAGTTAGCCTAATAGGCCCAGCCGAGCTGTAGACACGTGAGAGAGCCAAGCCAAGATTAAGAAAGCTGCCGTTGACCCATACCTGACCGTACCCATGTGTGAGCCTCGCTGAACTCAGTCAGAACTGGAACTGTCCAGCCAGCTCATGGATTTGTAAGCAATAATAATTGGTTATTGTGTTAAGCCACTGAGTTTTAGAGTTGTTTGCTGTGTAATGTTATTGTGGCAATAGATACTAACGCGTGCTACCAATGTCCTTCGGGACTGTCACGGTGCCATGGATCCTGCAGCTGTTGGTGCTTCTCTGATGTCTCTGCTGAGGTTGCAATTGAACTGAGTCACATGTGGAAGCAGATGGGGGAGACCTACGGAAGCCAGTGTAGCTGTGTGTACCAGGTCATTCTTTTTGAGTTTGGACTTTAAAATAATAGTACAAAGTAAAACTGAGCTAAATACGACGTTTTGACATGATCCTGTGTCAGGAAAGTTAAAACCTCAATTGCACTGAGGTGTAAAGAAAAAAATAAAGTTTTTTTTTTTTTTTAAGGTTCTATTAAAGCAAGAAAAGGAAAAGCAGTATCTCCCCCGTTTGGGTCTGATGGTGCGGCACTGACAAGTAATACAGAAACAGTGGAGTTCCTTGGATCTTACTTTGTTCCTGTTTTACTTGTCTAAGAGAATGATCTCCATAGTGAAAATTAGCTGTTAACAAAAGATAATGTGAGCCTTTTGAGAGATGACAGAATTGTTAGAGAATACTCATGTGTTCTACATTAAGCATCTTGGCCCAGGAAACTGAAAGAAATTGCAAAATGTTAAAAGTGAACTTGGAGGTATACCTGAGGGTTATTTCTGGGTTCTGAAAAGACTTCCCAGAAGTGTATGTTTTTTTAACAAGTAAGGCTTACTTTATCAAATCTACACATTCAAAATCCATGTTCTTGCTTATGTCTTTAAGTTTAATAATAAATCTTATTCGTTTATTTATTCACTAAAAATACCAGTTGCCAAGCTCTGGTCCAGGCACTGGGGATGTATCAGGAACAAAACAAACAAAACATATACCCTCGTGAAGCTTACAGACTAATGGGGGGAGGACAGAAAATAAAGTAGACAAATAAATTATTAATATATACTATATTAGTAGGCGATAATTTCTGTGAAAACAAGTAAAATGGGAAAGGTGAAAGAGATTCATTTTTAAATAGGGTGGCAAAAGAGGCCCTGTAGGGAAGTTAAACACCTTCAAATGCTTTAAACTGTGCTTATGAATTTAATATACTTGATTTCTTTTTAAATAAATTGACAAAACTTCTCATAATCCTAATAAACTAAAATAATAAAGGTGGCCCCTTAAGTTTTCTTAAATATCTAAAAACCATATAAATAAAATCTCCACCAATAATCACAGGTTTAAATCAATTAGTTAATTACACATTTCATTTGGGAATGACAGACAGACCTCTTCAATTCTGAAGGCCAATTCTAAAACACTTCAACCAAATATACACAAGTTTATAAACCCAAAGTGTTATTAGTGCAGCCTTAATTCTCTTGAATTCTATACTTGATGCTAAATTGTTCTTAGCATGGATGTTGTGCCAGACACTCAGCATCACATGGACCAGTTGACCTTTAAGGTCCTTTCCAAACTTCAGACTCCGTGATTCTCACCAACTGCCACGTCTGGAAACTTGATGGTGGAGCGTAAGCTACTGGGGCCTAGGCTTGGCCTGGGCTGAGGAATGGTGAGGACAGGGCAGCCCAGGTGGGAAGCCACCAAGGGCTAGGAGCAGAGCAGCAAAGGCAGGATAACAAAGAAATCGGGGCCTCAGAGGGCAAATGAAGAGTTGAAAGGATTTGGTGAACTAAGAAGTAGAGTGAGGAAAATAAGTGAGGACCAGAGAACCAGAATCAGGAATTCGTGTTGTTGAGAGAACAGCTCACAGAGCGGGTGGGTCATTGAGCTCTCTGGGAGGGAACAGTGCGGAGTATGGAAGACCAGAGGGAGCAAGAGTACAAAAGAACAGAGGGCAGAAGGGGGAAAAGTGAGGCAAGATGTAAGGGAGTGGAGGGGGTAAAATTTCTGACTTAATTCAGGGGTATTTTACAAGCAGCTGCACATTCAGGGATTATACCATTACTTACCACGTTAATTCTGACACAAAAGAGTTAAAATTATGGACTATTACTGCCCATATAAAGTTCTCACAGGTAGATGTTAGACCTATCTCATCTACACTATCCATCCATCCATCCATCCATCCATCCATCCATCCATCCATCCTGCTGCTTCCTCCTTCTATGAGGCTGAAGCTGTCGGGAATCATATCATATCAGCAGCTCACAGTGTAATGGCATAATCAGAGTTGCAGATATAACAATCTAACAATAATCGTTATGATTTTTTGAGTAGAGAACATATTTTTTCTATAACTCTGTTTATTTTGCATGATATATTCTACTTTTATGTGTGTGGTTTCTATCTCCCCACAAAGGATATTAACCCTGTAGGTCAGTGGTATAGCTAGAAAATACTTCAGTTTTTCCTACTTTAAAATGTTTCACTTTTTAAAAACTTTATAGGGCCTAGAAATCTTGTCATAAATGTCTATAATACAAGATACTAATGAGGTATGGAAGAATGTGAAAGAGTAGTTCCCCCTCCCCCATCTAAATCTAAAAATGATTTTTTGGACAACTTTTTTCTTGATAAAAAAGGAAGTCAGAGGTCACAGAAAGAACTGTGAGGATTTTAAAACTTATGTAGATCAGGCATGCAGAGCTGCTGAGGAATTTGTCAATATTTGCTATGAGACAATGGATAAAAGAAGACAGGCACTAACCAGGCTGTATCTGGACAAGGCCACTTTAATATGGAATGGAAATGTTGTTACAGGGCTGGAAGCCCTAACTAATTTTTTTGAGATGTTGCCTTCTAGTGAGTTCCAGGTCAACATGTTAGATTGCCAACCAGTTCATGAGCAAGCTGCCCAGTCTCAGACTACAGTTCTTGTTGTGACCAGTGGAACTGTGAAGTTTGATGGAAACAAACAACACTACTTCAACCAGAGCTTCCTGCTGACTGCTCAGTCCACTCCTAACAACACTGTATGGAAGATTGCGAGTGATTGCTTCCGTTTTCAAGATTGGGCTACTAGTTAAGGGGGGAAAGTCCATTCTCCTTTGGTCCATTAGTCCCAGTAACACATTTATGTGAAATTAATTCATTTCATTGTAGAAGCACTATAAACTAGTATGTGCTGAGATAAAATTTCTTTAATAATTTTTTATTCCTAGCAGCACCTTTTCTAGTAGCTGCCAGTTTGAATTGTTGCCCTTAAGAGCTTTAATGCTAGTTTTTTACATGCCTTATATACATTCCACTAATGACATTCTTATAGTAGTATCAAACACATGATCTTGATACTTAACATACTCACTGTGAACCCAGCCTATCACAAAAATAAAATCCTTTTATAATACTATCCATAGGATATCAGCACAATATAACTCTGGGAGGAAGTGGAGTGGTTTTTTTTTTTTGTTTGTTTGTTTTTGTTTGTTTTTGGTTTTTTTTTTTGGTTATTAGGTTAATTTTGTGGTTTTTTAAAGCACATGCCTGTTTTCAGTTAGCATTGATAATGCAGTTTTAATATATGGCTTTTTCAAGTCAGTTCAATGAAAACAGTGCAAGTTTAGGTTTGTGTAACTACTCTGACATTTGTAATTCTACATTGGAATTACATGTAGATATGTTCAGTAGTCTTTTGTTAAATTTTTTATGTTGGCATGTTTTCTTACAAAGTGAATTAAATCAACTAGAGACGTATAAAACGTTCTCAGTTGATACCTACATACTGGGTACGTTTGGTGGCTTAAAAGTTAATCTTAAAAGATTTTTCTTGGCAGCTCTAGGTCTGTAAATTTAGGTAATGTACGATAGTAGAACGAATAGCTTTAATGGGAGAATGAGGAATGAGAAATACAGAAATCCAAGGTTGAAGCCAAAAGTAAGATGGGTGGCCAAATGGTAAATTTTTGGTACTTATTTTCTACCTCCTAAAAATGTAACTTATTTTTAGGATTTAACTCACTAAGTTAATAGGTATCCTTGTCAAATTGTCATGCGTGTAACTTTTGTTCTAAAAATTATTTTTTTAGGTCTTTCCACTTCACCTCATACTTATCACCAATATATGTCTCAACTTATTCAAGAACTTGTGGGAGTAAAATGTTAGCAATAAGCCTAACCTTGTAACAGGGTCTAACACAAAAGTTGGAAACAAAGCCATTGCTGTCTTTTTGTGACACCCTTAAGTTTTATGTCTTCCATGTGAACTTTAGACCCAAAGTTTCTCATGTATTACCCACCACCAAAATAAGTGGGTTTTTTCCTCCTGTGTTTTGTACTGTCAACTACATTATCTTTCCCTTAATTATTTAGGTTAATTATTTAATTTTATGATTTGTTTTTCTATAAAGCATTGAGCAAATAGATCTGTTTTAAAACATGTTCCTGCTGTGTGGCTAACTCATTGTCTTTTTAAAGAGGAAATAGAGAACAGATCTTCATGATAAACTTCAAAAGAACAAATTGGTAAATTTTATGTTTCAACTTCTAAAGAGAAAAAAAGCAAGCTTGTTTTTTTCTTAAACTTCTAATGTCTTTTCCATTTTAATGTTCTTAAGCTAGATATGCCAGCTCTGTTTCTACATTGCAACCAAAAATTAATGTTTCTTACTACTTAATTTTAAAACCAGTAATTCATTTACTCTTGCCCAAAGCTATACACTATATTTCTGATATACTAATAAAAGAGAATTAAAATAAGAGAAAGGGGTGGAACTGAAATTTAGACTATACCATCTTGTAGCACTGATCAAAACTTAACAGATTATATTCGACCCAAAGTGAGCTTATTCTTTTGGATTGGTTTTCCAAAACCATAGATTTAACAGCAACAATCAAAATGCCCAAACACTGCCCTTTCCCTTAAAGAGAACAATCTCAAGTAAAAGCTGCATGTAACTAGCAGTAATGGAATTGAATGGTTGTGCGTTGTTCATGAGTGTTGTATGCTTTAAGACTTGTCTATGGATTGCTATTTTCCAAACTCTGAAACTTTTAAACGGCTGGAATTACTCTTATGTGGACTAGACTGTATTTTTGACATGCTCATATTTTTGTAATTTGAAAAAATAAAATTTGCCTTGTGACAAGTTTTCTCAAAAAAAAAAAAAGGAAGTCAAGATTAGCTTGCCATTTATGAAATTATTTTTTCTTTTCTTTTATAAATTGAGAAATATTCATAAGGCAAACCAAACAAATTTCTGTTAAATACCTGGGTTGAGCCAAATTTTGATTTAATTTTTCTAAAAGTAGACTACATAGATTTCATTTAAATAAAGACTGTATACTAACTTTAATTAGCATTTTTGGCAACCTGAAATTTTATTGACTGTGTTAAATAGTAAAGCTACCCAAATCATAGGCCAAAGCCACATGAATAAAAACTTAGCCCGATACATAATTTTATGCAAGACTTTGAAAAAACATTTTCTTACTGAGATATAATCAGACTCAAAATAGGCCTAGTACTTACACTGCATTCTAGTCTTAGTATTTTCCTGTCTCATCTCATAAGTTATCTTCAAATATTGTCATTTTGGATGGTCAGACATGTCTATAAAAGAAACAATGATAAATACTTAAAATGAGAAAATCGCAAAACGTGCAAAAACTTCATAATATAATTCACTTGTAACCTATACAATCCATGTAACATTTTGCAATGTTTACAACAATAGTACTGCAACAGAGAAGTCACTGAGCACATAAAAATTCCTTAAAACGAAAATTTCCTTCTGATTTGCTTTCACACTAGTAGGGCTCATTTGCTCTGGTGGGAAGGGTGAGTCTGCGGGAGGAAATTCAGGAGGGAGAGGCCGAGGTCAGCAGACTATCATCCTTCTCTCTGTGCAATACAAGTGCTCTCCAGTTATCAATGGCACCAACACCTGAGAATGGACTCTACCAAATGAACTTGGTCCTGCTTTGCACTACCATGCAGGGCTGAAAGACCCCTAATGAAACTGCTAACTGGGCTGCTCCGTTATGGCCCATCACTATGAATACTAGCATTGGGTTACGGGATCAAACAAAAGAATATCCGTATTCTTTTTTTCAACCAAGGTGTCTTATGAAAGCCATAGCAACAACACTAGGATTCCATGGAACCCCACTTGAGAAACACTGCTCCAAGAATTACTATGAAATGTTACTACATGTGTTAATGACACATGCAAAGCTCTCAGAAGAGTATTTGGTGCAGAGTGGTAGCTACTACTGTCCTGGGAACAAAGGCACTTGCAACAGGAAGGAGATTAGCATTAATACCAAAAATTATAGTAAAGTCATTGCCCTAATAAAAGCATATACAAAGTCCTCTGGGCACACTGAGAAGCAGTGTCTTAGTGCTCCAGGAAGTTAAGAGATCGTTTTTCGAGTAGATGGCATTTTGCATGAAATTTGAAGAATGATGAGGTGTTTTCTATGCAGATATTGGAAGGAGAGCGTACTCTAGACAGAGAAATTGCCTGGGTAAGTAGTTCCATTACACATACAACAGATGGCCATCAGCAGGGGAAAAATGAAAAGGAAATGTGTATGTTGTGTTTCTATTTAGTTTTCAATTGACACAGGTAATTATTTCTACATACATTTTTGGCTTGATCAGAATTGCTGGAATTTAAAAGCATTTGCTAAGTCTAATCCCCTGATGTGAACTGGACACTTTGTAAAATCCAAACAAATTTTAGTTTACTAATGGCCACAATCAGCAGAAGTGTATACTTAATAACATTTGGGTTTGGGAAAAGATGAGTAAATGACATACAATAAGTTTATATTTATTGTTCTTCCCTGTTCTACACTTAAATTGGCATTCAATAATTTGGTGGGAAACACGGGAACATGTAAACTTTGTGGAAGAGACACATTCTAATAATGTTTCAGGAAATTCATTGCTATATTACAATGTTCCTATTGAGCTTTCAAAAGCACTTTATATTGGACAAACTTGATGCTATTTCAAGAGCAACTTGTTGGGATTTGAAAGCAAATCTTAGCTCTTGAGAAGAATGAAAGAGATTTAGGGAGGTGTGGAGAGAATGTTGAACTGAATCCAAAATCTCTTTGCAAATATATTTTGAAGGAAATAATTCAGCATTGTTTTTAAATCACAATTTCTAAAACAGGAAATAGAAATTGGCAAGTCTGTCTCACGAGATGCAGACTTGGCCAAAAGTGTCCTTCACTCTTTGAGGTTTTTGCTTTATTTACTTATTTTTTCTTTGTAAAAATTTTTTTCTTAATCTTAAGTGAAAACTCTGTTGCTGTCTTTAGCTTCTGAGCTCTTTGGGTAGAGTCCTTACTCTAGTTAGAGAACAAAAAAAGACACACAGTGGAATTCACACTGGAGAAATCAGGCCCAAGGGATGTGGGCCTGAAGCAAGAGTGTCCCCTTTCACTGTCATCCTGTCACCGCCCTCCATGCTAACACCCAGACCCTCTATCCATGGCACCGCAATGGGGGTCCAGCGACAGCACCACCAATCCAGGAGTTTCTGGTGCCATCCGAAGGAAATCAGTGACATGGAACACAGGAGGGAAAAGAGATGTTTGGGAATGGTCATTATCTGACTTCCCACAGATTAGCCATTTTGCCCAAAGCCCTGAGGACCCCACTACAAAAAACCTTGCACCAGGAAGAGACGAGAAAGAGGGAGAAAAGGAATAAGTGTGGGGTGGGAAAGGACATGTGGTGGGACAGAAGAGAGCAGAGGCAAGAGGAGGGCTAGGGGTAAAAGGGCAAGAAGGGACAGGGGAATTCTGTTGGGTCAGAAGACCTTGCCAAGACCACCATTGCTTGGAGCATGCTCTGCCCCTAGATGGTGCTGTGTAGTCAGCAAGTCCAGGAAATAACCTTCACTCAAAGCAGACTCCCAGCTTTGCCTTTGGTGCCTTTACATATCTGGGGCTTGTTTGGACCAGTCCCCGTACATAGACTCCAGTTAACTTGTGCCTACTCCTAGCGACTGCCCTTTACATTTTCTTCCCCCTCTGTCCTCCGTGCTCTTTCTCATCTGCCAGGTGAGGTACTCTACCTATCTTATCTCACAAGATAGGCAGCCCTATCTCTGTTTCCCAGATGAAAATAATAAGACTCAGATATATAATGGGAAAAGCCCAAGGTCTTTCAATCCTAAATTCAACAGCTAGAGCCAAAGTTTAAATCCAGATATGTGGAGCAGCAAAGTCCATGAGCCTGACAGAGGGAAATCTCATTCTTAACTGCCCGAAGCCATCTCTGTATGTCTCTAAGCCTGGCTGGCGTCATCTTTTCTGTGCATTAGCCAGGAGCCAGCCTGCCAGCCACGTGGGCTCTCAGCCAATCGACAGTCTTCACTGGGTGAGGACCAT